GGGAAGGGCACGGAGATGGGTCCTGCCCCGGGAAGGGCACGGAGATGGGTTCTGTCCCTCGGGAAGGGCACGGAGATGGGTTCTGTCCTGGGAAGGGCACGGAGATGAGTTCTGCCCCTCGGGAAGGGCACGGAGATGGGTTCTGTCCCTCGGGAAGGGCACGGAGATGGGTCCTGCCCCGGGATGGGCACGGAGATGGGTTCTGCCCCTCGGGATGGGCACGGAGATGGGTTCTGTCCTGGGAAGGGCACGGAGATGGGTCCTGTCCTGGGAAGGGCACGGAGATAGGTCCTGCCCCGGGATGGGCACGGAGATGGGTTCTGCCCCTCGGGATGGGCACGGAGATGGGTTCTGCCCCTCGGGATGGGCACGGAGATGNCGGGATGGGCACGGAGATGGGTTCTGCCCCTCGGGATGGGCACGGAGATGGGTTCTGCCCCTCGGGATGGGCACGGAGATGAGTTCTGCCCCTCGGGAAGGCGCCTCACCCGGGTTTAACGCAGCCCTAAGGTTTGTGGTGCAGCACAAAGAAGGATATTCATGGAGGGAAAAGGGGCTGCGTGGCTGGGAACAATATTGGGTTTGTTCTTGCTCTCCCTCCGCCTGGAAAGTTTACAGAAGCCCTAAAGAGAGACGGGGTAAATTCTTATTTTAAGGACAAAACAGTGGAGTTTTCTTTGGAGCGGGCACTGCCAAAGCCCGGCACGGACACGTCCCTTTCCCGCAGAACAGGCGCAGGGAGCAGGTTGCCAGGAGCGAATATCCCGGGGTTTGGGATTTGGTTTGTTTTGCGGCGGGGTTGGTCCTGCGGAGCGAGCGCTGCGGGGGAGCCGGGCGGGCTCGGCCGCAGGTGCGCAGGGATGCGCGGGTGGGGCGGGCAGGAACCTGCCCGTGCTCCAGGAACGGCTGGAGAACCGGAGCCGGGCAGGAAAGGCAAAACCAAAACCTCCCTGGCGTGGTTTTTCCTCGCTCTGGGTACTGATGCTCCTACTGAGTGCGTCCTCCAGCGCTTTATCCCTTTCTG